AGTTGGGCTTGTATCACTTTATTTTTAAAAGTAAATTCCTCATCTTCTCCCAGCGCTTCCCCACAATGATGCAGCTAAATGGTTCCTTTCCGATCTAATTGTCGCCAAAGTATGTTAGGCAATTATTTTTCTTCCCATACCATTACCTCAGTTATTTCCCAAAGAATAAAACCTTGTTCCCTTCCTTTTTTATCACCTTCATCCTGACCCTCAATGATGTCATCTAAAAGCACAGAATTAGTTTGTACAGCAATGAGACCCAGCTCTAACTCAACAGCACAACGCTCAATTAATCCACTGCTACTAAACTGCTACAAACATCTAGTATTGGTTGAGCAATTTCCTATAGTAGCTATTGAGAACACTGTAGCTATTGTTTAGAGTCCTCACTCCACAATTTGTTCAGTAGCCACTGACTCCATCCCTCAAATTGGCAACAGCCTGAGAATAAGCCGAATTGTTTGCAACCTTCATATTTGACACCAAGATAAGCTTTTGAAAACATATTCACACAACTACTAAGGTTGCATTTTGTCACCATAGCATCACCCAACCTGAAGTGTCTCAGCTCATTTGATCTTGAAACCCTCAATCATGCCCTCATTCCCTCAGGACATGGCACATTCCTAACTGGTCTTCCATATTCCACTATCCATAAGCTTGAGATCATCCAAAACTCTGGCGCCTGTGTCATTCATCACACCTGCTCAACCTATCACCCCAGTACTATGGACATCCGTTGGTCACAGGTCAATCTCAGCCCTCGTGTTCAAATCCCTCACCATTTCTTCCAGCCCCATCATGCTCTGAGACAGTTACCTTCATCTAATTCTGGCCTATTACATAGAGCCAAGTTTTAATTGCTCTATAACCGGCAGCTTGTTTTCAGTTCCACAGGCCTTAGGCTCTGGATTTCCCACTATAAACCATCCCGGCTCTCTACCACTCTTCCTTTGGCTAGTTTCCCAAATATTTCCTTATGTTACCTTGGCACCTAATTATATTTATAACAATTCCATGAGACATCTTGAGAATTTTATTATATTTAAGGTGCTAATTAAAAATACATTGTAGTGATTTGGATGAAAGACTGAAGGGATGGTAGCTAAATTTGCTGATCATACAAAGATAGGCAGGAAAGTGAGTTGTGAAGAGGACATAAGAAGCCTACAAAGGAATATAAATCACTACGTGAGTAATCAAAGATCTGGCAATAGAGTACAATGTGGAGAGTGTTAAATTGTCTATTTTGGCAGAAAGAATAAAAGAGAAAAATATTATCTAAATGGGGAAGAGATTTTAGAGCTCTGAGATGCAGAGAGAACTGGGTGTCCTGGTACACAATCCACAGAAAGTCAATAAGCAGATACAGCAAGTAATCATGAAAGCGAATAGAATGTTATGGTTTCTTGCAAAGTTAGTTGCATGCAAGGGTAGAGCAGTTTTGCTTCAGTTTTACGGGGCATCATTGAGAGCACATCTGGAATACTGTGTACAGTGCTGGTCATTCTACTTAGGAAAGGATATTAATGCACTCGAGGCAGTTCAGAGAAGGGTCACTTGACTAATACCTGTAATGAGTAAATTGCCCTTGTGGAAAGACTAGACAGGTTAGGCCTGTATCCTCTTGAGTTTAGAACAGTTAAGGGTGAAGTAATTGAAACATAAGATCCTGAGGGAACTTGACCCGATGGATGTTGAAAGCAAGTTTTCTCTTGCGGGAGAAACTAGAGCTGGGGTGACAGTTTAAAAATAAGGAGGCACGCATTTAAAACAGAGATGAGGAAACATTTTTCTTCTCTCAGAGGTTTGAGAGTCTTTGGAATTCCTTTCCTCAAAAGGCAAGGGATGCAAAATCTTCAAATATTTTTAAAGCAGAGGTTGATAGATTCTTGATTACCAACAGGATAAAAGACAAACAGAGATATGCAGGAATGTAGAGTTGACATTAAAATCAGATCTTGCATGATCTTATTGGATGGCAGGACAGACTCAAAGGGCCATGTGACCTACTCTTGTTACTTGTTTGTATGTCATCCCTAACTGAATCCCGTTCCTATAAAATGGCCCCAGTTGCTGTATCTCATAGAACCTCTACAGTGTGGAAACAGGCTTTTCAGCCCAACAAGTCCATACTGAACCTCAGAGCATCCCACCCAGACTCATCCCCTTAATCTACACATCCCTGAACACTATGGACAATTTAGCATGGCCAACCCATCTAGCCTGCACATCTTTGGACTGTGGGAGGAAACCAGAACACCCAGAGGAAACCCACACAGATATGGGGAGAATGTGCAAACTCCACACAGACAGCTGCCCAAGGGTGGAATCAAACCCAGGTCCCTGGTGCTGTGAGGCAGCAGTGCTAACCACTGAGCCACCAGGCCGGTTAGGATGGGATTCGAACCTGGGTCCCCAGAACATTATCTGGGTCTCTGGATTAACAGTCTACCGATAATACCACTAGGCCATCACCTCCTCCTGTATCTTCAAGAAAAATATAAATAAATGTGCAATCCTAAAATTTACTAATATTATCTTTTGTTAATTTCTGGAACTTGGGCATACCGAGCAAGGCCAGCATTTATTGCCCATTCCTAAGTGCGCACGGAAAGATGGGACAGAGGCATAGGTAGAGCATTCCAAGATTCTGAACCAGTCAGCTCCCCTCCACTTGCTTTCCTTATCCTTCAATGTGATAGAGAACATAAAATATAGAACATAGAACTGTACAGCACAGTACAGGCTCTACGGCCCATGATGTTGTGTCAAACTTCTACCCTAAACCTAAGGTCTATCTAACCTCCACCCCTACCTTATACTATCATCCATTTGCCTATATAATAGCCGCTTAAATGCCCCTAATGAGGCCGACTCCACTATCCTCTCTGGCAATGCATTCCATGCCCCTACCACTCTCTTTGTAAAGAACCTACCTCTGACATCTCCCCGATATCTATCTCCACTCACTTTATAACTATGCCCCCTCCTAATAGCTAACTCCACCCAAGGAAAAAGTCTCTGGCTGTCCACTCTATCTATACCTCTGATCATTTTGTACACCTCTATCAAGTCACCTCTCATTCTTCGTTGTTCTAATGAGAAGAGTCCCAGCTCTCTCACCCTTTCCTCGTAAGAGCTTCGCTCCATTCCAGGCAACATCCTGGCAAATCTTCTCTGCACCTTTTCCAACGCTTCCACATCTTTCCTGTAATGAGGCGACCAGAACTGGACACAATACTCCAGATGTGGCCGAACCAGGGTTTTGTATAGCTGGAGCATAACTTCACGACTCTTGAACTCAATCCCTCCATTAATGAAAGCTAACACACCATACACCTTCTTAACAACTCTATCCACCTGGGTGGCAGCTTTCAGGGAAAAGAGGTCACAGGTTTGGGAGATGCTTTGAGAAAACTTTAGCAAGTTGCAAGTGATTTGCAAGTAAAATTCAACAAAAAGACGTGCATGTGAGCGGAACAAGGAAAAATGGCTTTTGTAAAGAAGTTGCATAATCCCAGAGGACCACAGCGCTGCTTTCTTAATGTGATTTCAGCTGGTATAAGAATTGAACCCATGCTATTGGCATCAGTTTACAGTGCAAGCCAGATACCCAGCCAATTGAGCTAACCAATCCCCTACAAAAGAACACAAGTATGTAACGTCAAAATACCATGCATGGTTCAGCAGCACACTAGGAAACCATGACCTAGCTGCTTATCCAAATTCAGTCACGAGTAAAAACCAACAGGCATTGAATAAACATCAACTCCGTCCCCTAACAACAAACACAAGCATTATTTTCAATGACTTGAACTATTCTATCCAAAGTCTGCCTAGATTTCACAAAATACACATTATGACTGAGAAAAGGGCCAGTTTTGCTTGTGATGAACTACCCTAATTCAAAACTTGACAGAAAATAGAACTAAACATACAGTTAGGTGATCCAGGGAATTTCTGGGAGTTCTCGTTCAGAACAACATGGATATCACACTCCTGACTGAAGTGTTCATCATTAACGACTACAATAGTGTTCACAGTAAGTTATGCAGATAATTTCCAGGATGTTGTATTGTTTGGTTTTTCAATTTCAAATTTCCCACCAACTAGGAACATGAACTACTGTAAAAAAAAATTTCCACAAAAATAAAGACATAACATTTCGTAACACCTTTCACATTTGGTAACACCTTTATTTTCTACATAACATCCCCTTGAAGTGCTTAAAACATTTCCACTTTTTAGTAAAGCAGTAATCCAAGGGTAGGCCAACCATTTTAACGAAGATCAATTCAACTTACTGTCTGTGAGAATAAAACAGATAGAAGAGAAAATGACTGAGAAATGACAAACTAGCTGAGAAAATACAAGCAAAGATATAATCACGCACAATGACTGAGCAGGAGACCACACAAATCTACGTTGCTTAAGATAGTCTCAGTTCACTGCATTACAATTTCTTTCAATGGAATAGTCTGATACAGAAACACATCCAAAAAGATTTTATTTCCTTTGCCTGTACAATTGATTTCATAAATGGAAATGCTTCTTTCCCCATCCCCCTCACCCTGAAAGATGCTCTAAGGCAAATCATCCCACATTGCACTGTATCTTTTATTACCCCAAGACCACCTAAGAAGATAGACAGAGTTCACCACAGGGAAGCAAATAATCAGCAAACACACAATCCCATTAGAAATGCACTCAATCCCAGGTGGACTGTGTTACCGCTTTCTATAATCATTTCATTGAGGTTTGCAAGTGGCGACCTACAGATTACATGTCTGATATGTCGTCACATAGGATCAATGAAACAGATGTGTTGTTTAATGTTTCCCACGCGAGATTACATTGATGTCCAATACTGGAGTGAAATGGAACATGCAATAAAGGAAAACAAGACCTTCAGCAATACAGGTTCAAGTCTGATGTGCAGTATGAAACTGTTTTACTGCCAACCACATCTGATTCAATGCAGTAAGATGAGCTGTTACCTCCCACATCAACCTGGGATCCATGCTTTCATTCAGTTCATTGGGCATTCTTTTCTCTCCAGCAAAGGGCCCAAATTTCTCTCCCTGCCAACAAGAGAAATGAGGGAGGTTACAGTGATAGAGTGATATAGTGTATATCCAACAGAGAAAAATCAAATCTAAGGCAACCTGCATTTGATTGGACTCCCAGTTTGCAAAACAGATACTCAGATTACAACATAATATTGTTACTATTACCTTCAAATGGGCAACAATAAATCACAACTTCCACAGCAAATCAGTTGGAAGTATTTCATAGAAAGAAGTCAAAGAGTTATATGGCATGGAAACAGATGCTTATGGTCTAACTCATCCATGCCGACCAGATATCCTAAACTGATCTAGTCCCATTTGCCAGCATTTGGCGCATAACCGTCTAAACCCTTCCTATTCATTTAAGCATCCGGGTGCCTTTTAAATGTTGTAATTGTACCCGCCTACACCACTTCCATTGACAGCCTGTTCCATACATGCATCGCTCTCTACGTGAAAAAGTTGTCCCTTAGATCCCTTTTAAATCTTTCCTCTCCCACTTTAAACCTATGCTCTCTAGCTTTGGACCCCCTCATCCTGGGAAAAAGACCTTGGCTATCAACCTATCCATGGCCGTCATGATTCTATAACCTCTATAAGGTCACATCTCACCCTCTGATTCTCCAGGGAATAAAGTCCCAGCCTATTCAACTTCTCCCTGTAGCTCAAGCCCTCAAATCCTGGCAACATCCCTGTAAATTTTTTCCAAACCCTTTCAAGTTCAACAGCATCTTTCCTGTAGCAGGGAGACCAGAATTTAACGCAGTATTCTAAAAGTGGCCTAACCAATGTCATGTACAGCCATAACACGGCATCCCAACTCTTATACTTAATGCACTGACCAATGAAGGCAAGTGCGCCAAACGCCTTCTTAATCACCTTGACTACCTGCGACTCCATTTTCAAGGAACTGTGCACCTACACCCCCTAGGTCCCTTTGTTTGGCAACACTCACCAGGGCATTACCATTAGCCATATAAGTCTTGCCCTGATTTACCTTACCAAAATGCAACACTTCACATTTATCTAAATTAAACTCCATCTTTTACTCCTCCGCCATAAGATAACTTTCTTCAATGTCCACTAAACCACCAATTTTGGTGTCATCTGCAAATGTACTAACCATTCCTCCTAGATTCACATTTAAATCATTTATCTAAATGATGAAAAGCGGTTGACCCAGCACCAATCCTTGCCGCACATCACTGGTCACAGGCCTCCAATCTAAAAAAGTATCTCTCCGCCATCACCCTCTGTCTCCTGTCTTCAAGCCAACTTTGTATCCAATTGTCTAGCTCCCCTTGAATTCATGATGTTTGTTATGATATAAGACACTATTTCTATTGAGAAGAACAGCAAAGCCCTCCAAAAGTATCCAACATCTAATGTGTTCTTCTAGTTCTTGAGAAATTACTATTTTACCATTTCTAACCAAGCCTGCAAAATCCTTCCTCAAAACTGAAGTACTTCATTGAAAATCTCATCATGCACTTTTTATATGATGTTACTGTCTACTGTGAGGCACTGTTCCAATTTAGAGCTGTTGCAGTGACAAAGTAATAAAAAAAAATCTAAAGAAAGGGAATACCTGTTGTAATAACATATTGGTCTATATAGGAGGTTACCCTGATGGTGAAGAAACACCTTTGGGTTCAATGTTCAACTTAAAACAAGTTTACGTTCATTTTCAAATTCTATAATGTTAAAGCATTAAAATCTCAATGTGACACAATTAAACTATTTTGAGAACCAGAATTTCACCCACTTGACATCAGAATCCTCTATCCTGCTTTACTAAAATGTTCAATCAAATTTTCAGTGTTCATTTCTTTAGCGCAAAAGTGTCAGTTGTGTATGTTTAGGTGAGGCCAACTTTTGACAAGGGAGCCTCCGAATGTCCACCTTCTTCCTCAACCGAGGATTCCCCAGCTCCGTTGTCGACAGGGCCCTCAACCAGGTTTGACCCATCTCCCGCACTTCTGCCCTCACTCCTTCTCTTCCCTCTCGCAACAGCGATAGGCTTCCCCTTGTCCTTACTTACCATCCCACCAGCATCCACATCCAGAAGATCATCAGATGCCATTTCCGCCACCTCCAGCAAGATGCCACCACCAGACACACATTCCCCTCCCTTCCCTTGTTCGCCTTCCGCAGGGACTGTTCCCTCCAGGACACCCTGTCCACACTGCCTTCACACACCCACGGCCCTATGGCACCATCCCCTGTAACTGGCGAAGGTGCAACACCTGCCCATTTACCTCCTCCCTCCCCAGTATGCAAGGGCCCAAATATACCTTCCAGGTGAAACAACACTTCACCTGCACTTCCCAGAAACTAGTCTACTGCATTCGCTGCTCACAATGTGGTCTCCTCTACATTGGGGAAATGAAGTGTAGACTGGGTGACCGCTTTGCAGAACGTCTACGTTCTGCTCGCAAAGAAGACCCTGAGCTACCTGTTACCTGCCACTTTAACACACCACCCTGTTCCCTGGCCAACATCTCCATCTCTGGCTTACTGTAGTGTTCCAGTGACAGTCAACTCAAGCTGGAAGAACAACACCTCATTTTCCACTTGAGGACCCTACAGCCCTCAATATCAAGTTCAATAATTTTAGGGCCTAAACTCTCCCATGTCCCAGACCCCTACCCCACACACCAGGCCTGGTTACCACACAGCCTGCTATTACACATCACCTGTTCTTAGTCACTAATAGTCCCAATTAACAACTATTCACCCTCCCAGCCTGATAATTATCAACTCTTTGTCTGTACAACTGCTCATCTCTCTCTTTAGGCTCTATCCTATCGTTTACTCCCTGCCCCAACCCCCTCCCTTTTTTCTGCATATAAACTGATGTTTTCACAGCCACCATCAGTTCTGAGCAAGGGTCACTGGTCCTGAAACATTAACTCTGATTTTTTTTTCTTCACAGATGCTGCCAGACCTATTGGGCTTTTCCAGCAACTTTGTTTTTGTTCCTGATTCACAGTATCCGCAGTTCTTTCGGTTTTTACAAAAATGATTTGTTTTGTTCAGTTGCTAAACCATTCTACTTTCTGTATTCTTATTACTTCCTTTGCTCGGTCCAGGAAAAGGTATGAGTTTGCACAGGGATAGTAAAATGCCATAACATCAATCTGGTATATAGATAGTACCAGAAGTATTTAAAGATAAGAATGCAAAAATCTTCCAATTTCATAGTAGAAGCATTTTCAGTTATTCCCCTGTTCCACAGCAACCAACCAAAAAAAATTCTTTGACAACAAGGTGCAGAGCTGGATGAACACAGCAGGCCAAGCAGCATCATAGGAGCAGTAAGGCTGACATTGCGGGCCTAGACCCTTCATCTTCTAAGGATGCCTACCCTGAAGAAGTTACCCTCCTCCCCTGATGGAAGGTCTAGGCCCGAAACGTCAGCCTTACTGCTCCTATGATGCTGC